GGCTGAGGGGCAACTGGGAGGGGGCGGGGCAGTGCATGGAGAGGGCGCTTTGGGCCCCAAGTTGAAGGGTGAGGCCTTCACAGAGGTAGTCACTACAGGGGGCTCTTGAAGATGACCCTCTGGCCTGTGGGTGCCTCCAGGCCCCCTCCTAACCACTCCTCTGGTCCTCCCACGGCCTCCAGGACCACCTCCCCACTGTCACACACATGTGAGGAGGAGGATGTATTCATATTAGCTTGTGGCGTGACCTCAGAAATGTCACTTCTCTAGTGACCTCAGTTTTCTTTACTGCAAAAGATGGGGTTGGTCAATCATCTCTGAGGTTTCTTCCAACTCTAAGACTGGGAAATATACTAGAAAGTGTGGGGAGGGGGGTCTTAGCTGTGCCCTGCTCCCCTGGGCCCTGTCCACACGCCAGGCTCGGGAATGTTGCCCCACAGCACAAAGGGCGTGGCCAGTGCCACGTTGATGCTGGGCACTGCGGATGTTTGGCTTGATGGGAAACTGACTCTTAAGTAGTTAAGTAGTAGTTGAAAGAAGGAGGTGAGGACTGGGGAGGCAGGAAGGAAAGCTGGGGTGCTTGGGAAGTCACCCAGTAAGCATTTATAGAGCTGTATTTATAGAGCAAAGCACCCTACTCGGGGCTGGGCTGCACCTAGAGCATCTTTGTTCAAGAACTTTGGGAATCTAGGAGTGTGGGGAAAAATCTTTGCAACTATAACTATAATCCAAGACAAGAGGTGGAAAGTGCCACAGGAATGGTTCTGATAAGTCTTGTGGTGGGTCAGAGGGACTTCTGGCTGGGGAAATAAGCAAAGACCTCACAGAGGTGGCAACTTGTGATTTAGGACTTAAAAGAGGAGCAGAAATTGGATATGCAGGGTTGGGAGATGGGTACTACCAGGGCACATAATCGAGAAATCTTAAAACAGGTAGGGACCGTGAACAGCCAGTTTGGTGGCAACAGAAGTGGAATGAGCAGGAGCTACAGGGTGGACCCAGGTCACGGGGGAGCCAGGTGCCAGGTCAGGGAGACTGAACTACTCTGTAGGCACCAGGGACATCTCGACAAGGCTCTGCAGAGTCTCA